CTTGTGGAAGGCGGGACTTTTCAAGGTGGGGAGGCTAATCACTGCAGTCAAATGCGAAAATTTTAAAAAGAAACAAAACTTCGCAAAAAGACGCTGAAGTTAGATTGATTGAGGGGGAGGAGTCAGTGTGGCAACGCATGAGCGCGTCTAGTGCCTCCGTTGTGTGAAGAGTACGCCTTAAACCAACGCCTTGAAAAGAAAGATAAAAACTCGTAATTCGCAACAAAATCCTTGAAAAGTGCGTGGAGTACGTCCCTGTGTCAAAAATCTTTCCTTAGTGTACTTGAGTAAATAGCAAAAGAACAAAAAAGAGTAGCAGAAGCTACAAAATTATATCTATTAGGTTGTCCGGAAAGTTTTGAGGAAATTTCACACATTTAATTTGAAGAAGTGTAGCAAGCGAATGCCCAGCAGAAGGTCATATATATCAAGTGCTATGAGAAAGAGAAATGTTTGTAGATCAATACTAATGCTGGTTGTTATTATTCTCCATTGTTGGTATGATTTGACATTACCTGAAAAATGTACGAGCGCGCACGACTCCCAACGCCTTTTACTTCATCTTCACCGTTCTGGCTCCTCTATCGGTCAAATCGGGAATGAGGAACCGCCTCCGATGCTGGATAAAATGCGCTTCAAAATTATCTATACTAGGAGATCAATCGGTCTCTTCCATGGAAGTTTAGCTTAGATGTTGCGTACGCCCCTCATTCTCAGTACTCGCTTAGTTCTAGCTCCCACGCAAGGTAATCCCGCCCAAAAGGTAAGGGACATAGGATGGACAATATTTATTATAACTATGAACTACTATCTCTTATTGTTGTTGATAAGTTTAAATTAGCTGGTTGAAATTTCTCAAAACTTTCCGGACACCCTAATAGAAAATCATGACGGCGCTGGAATGTAGGCTTGACAGTCGGCCGCAACCTGCTTGACAAACTTTCCGGTGCTGAAAAACCGGTTGGATTTGATCCGAAAGTGATCAATTTAAAGTGAAGATGTATATTTGAAATAGCGTTGTACATTTTTCTACTGGCCACATAGCAACTGGAAAACAATCAACTAAAGGACGGCGGAAACTTTTTGCCAACACAGTAATTATCAAATTTTCACACGATCAGATTAGAAACCAACTCACCGCTGCCTCATTTCCGTTTATACGTGCCTGAATGCTGTAAGGAGCCACACGATCAAGTACGGGAGGTTTGGCATCGGCACCATTCATGCACGTCCAATCCATAGCCGACGACGGCTCCCGCTTCATAATGCCGACACTTACACCCGAAATCTAGAAATGGACATGGGCGAGTAACTCATATTTAAAGCTTCTAGGTGAAAATAGACTAGAAAGGTACAGAAGGTAACACTCAACCAGCAGAAACATTTGAATTTCTAATTATAAATCATTCATTCTCACAACAAATATGTACACGCACTTTGATCAACCTAACAATAACAAAATTCAGATGAGGTACATCGAAACTAGATCTAGCGAATCCCACACACAACCACAGAATCATAATTCGAAAGCAAATATAAAGGGTCTCCTTATTATTAAAATTTGCAAAAGCAACAACAATTGGCTCCTAAACCATGTGGAGTGGTTGGTCAAAGACGTAAGAAACAATAAGCGTAGATCTCTACGACTTCAAATTCAATATGAACTCGCTTTATGCTTCGGTATGAAAGTGAATCCATCAGGTGTCGGCCCTAGCAACATCCGACTGATATCTATCCAGTCAGCGGCTCGGTGGCTGCTCAATAAAGTCTCCAGGTCGTTCCGTCCGTGGTATAGAGGTGGCCTTTCATTCATTCGTTGAGGAATGCGCTCGAGTAAACCGACGGGAATGTACCTTCAACAGAAAAGCGTTACTATTCAAAAGAAGACTATCAAAACAATCAATACAAAAAAGAACAGCAGTATTAAGTTTTTTAGCTGTAAGAAACCTGCACTGGAAAGACAGCCATTCTAAGAGAAAACGTCGAGTGCGTTCTACTCCAGCATCATCGCTTCCCCAGTGATCAAGGCCATAATTAACAAACCTAAATCAAGCGTTAATGCAAAGTAGAAAAGAAAGCAAGCTAGGGACCCGTCTCATTGAAAGGAACCGAAGTCGGGAATATTCCGATCTAAAGGACAGGCTGCATTGTTGAGCTTAAAAGGAAGATCAAATGCTGTTGAGCTTTACCATAAAGGACGATGGGGAAGAAGTGTAATGCGCGGTCACAATAAGGTCAGCGTCAAATCCTTTGTAATCTACGGGGTATTCCCAACGAGTTCCAGATACATGAGTTGATATACGGACCAGTATCTTTCCAAGTTTTACCTCAGATTACCGCTCACAACCACGGGCACTGCGATATATCGAGCGCGTGAGAGAGGACTCTTTCTATATGCGGTAGAAGGATCACATGAGGAAATTTGGAACGCCCATTCACATCACCCATGTCGAATCACCAGCATAACAATATTGCTATGGCAAGCTGAATTAACGTTTTACAAGAAAGGTAGGTCACGCTCAGCGTTCATTTGGTGAGCAAATGCCATGCTCGGATAAGGTAGTTTCAACCGGGACACTAAAGCTGCATCGCTTTCGCAACTCGAAAATGCATGGCAACGACGCCATCCGATCATGATCAAGGCAATGCCCCGCCCATTGCTCCAGACCACCCATTTCATTTTTTCATTTATTGGACGTGCGATAGCACATAGAACATAAAACAGGACAAAACTAAATGTTAAAAAAACAACACAAAAACATAGAAAAAACCAGCTCAGATAAAAACCGATTATGTTGCTTCTACGCTCACATATGCAGACAGTAACTACAACACTTCAAATGAAATCACCGACCCGCCTCTTGAAAGTAGCATACTTTAAAGGGAACACATTCGAACGTAAGAGCGAATTGAAGTTGGTACAAGTTCTATTACTAAAAAACCTTGACCTGTACTGAGTCCTAGCAAACGTGGCACTAAGTCTGATACTAACTCCTCTTGTATTAGTAGACAGTACTTGGAAAAACTGTTCAACGTCCAATTTCACTAAGCCATTTAATATTTTGTAAGCCATCAGTAAATCATATCTCTTCCTCCTCCACTCGAGAGATTTAAGCCCGTACGTCGTATTCCTAACAAAACCTCTAGGTATATCTAAGTAGTTTAAGCCCGTACATCTAAGCATTAGTTTACGAGTAAAGTTGTTCTGAACAGATTCCAGCGCTTGAATATCTTTTTTGGTGTAGGGGTTAAATACCGTTGTACCACATTCCAGGATAGGGCGAACGTAAAGCTTATAGGAACGTAACAAAATGCCTGGATCCTTTGTCCGTAGGGCTTTGAATAAGTTGAACGTTCTGCGCATACCTTTAACCACCAATATTTTAAAGTGCTTTCTGAAACTTAGTTTACTGTCATAGTGGAATCCGAGATCCCTAACTTCCGCCACCGTCTTCAATGCAGCTTTATCGGCAGAATACTGTGGTTCGCAAGTGTGAGCCCCCAAACGCATGACTTGTGTTTTTTCCGATGACAAGAGAAGACCATTGCAGTCAGCCCAATTTACAATCCTGTCTATTGCGAGCTGAAGTGACGGGTCACATTCTGAGTCCGTAACAACCTTGTAAATTTTGATATCATCGGCATAGATGTTACAGGTAACTCCAAGACCTGTACCAAGACCTCATCTTTCATTTCAACGACTATGTGATGGCGCAGTTGTTTCATACCAGCTTTTTTATTCCGAATGGTGCGAGTGAGGTGATAAGGGAAAGAGCTTTACAACACCAACAAGTGAAAGCTCGTCCAAGCACGCCATCCCCTCACTGTATGCTCGTACGAGTAGGGTCAGCTTAGGGACCCATCTAGTGCATTCCTGAGGATCTTTCTCATTTTTCCCTTCACCATCGAGTAAATTACTATATCGTCATCAGTGGATATTATTGACTAAGCACCGTTTTCGAACGAGGTATTTCAACGCATTTCACTGTGTTAAACAGGTTTTGTCCATTGCACGCAGCCAGAGCGACGTAAAAAAATATAACAGAGAACAGAGCAGCAGTGTATGCAACTTACTGCTTCAGCAGATCCAGTCTTTCAGAGGCTGAGATGTCCCACGTTCTCCGCTCATCTATTTCAGTGAAAATCCATGGCTTTATCAGAGCACCACGTCCTATCATAATTCCTCCTATTGGATACTCTTCCAAACGCTGAATGAGATTACTCCTCTCCATTACAGCCAACGGGAGACTGTATCCTAAGCATAAGTCAAACTCACGGAGTAGTATTCCTGCCAACTGAGCACGTCACCGCAAACCCATAGTGGAACTTCAGCGCACTCTTTAAGGCAAGGACTGACGAAGTCCCAATTTGCCAACCTTGTGTAGCGCTGCTCCCGAAAAGAAGAATGATAAGAGGACTGGAAACGGATTGAAACAGACAAAGGATTCCCTTCCAACATACTTGCTTCTCGGATGAAAAGTGATCAGGTCAGGTCTTGCGAATGGTGAAGCAACCATAAGCTTGATGCTTTCATCAGCGGTGAGGCTACCTTCTCGAACTCCGGTCCGAAGCTTGACGGTTAGAGGCACGGAACCCATCACACAGCGCATTGCGGACAGGACTAAAAACCCTTCTTTAGGTGGTTTCATTCAAATGAAATTGCACCAAAATTAGCTCATAATCAGTTGTACGAAGTATCCTCCTCCTCGATCCTTTTAGATGAAAGTATTTTTCTCACATACGTGAGTATGAATTAAGATACCCGCGGCATTGTATCGCACGCCCGTGAACTTACGAAGAACTAACTCGATTATTTTATTGTGTCTATTAGGCAGAGCAACAGCAGCACACCCTATTTAGATTAACGACATCAATAGGGCAACCCATGTTGACATCAATGAAATCAATCTGGAAAAGTAATAGACGTAAACGGTTAAACTTTAACTGTTGTTGTGTTCTACAGACCGAAAACGAAAAATCAACAACAAGTGCACAAAAAGAAGAATGTCGAGAAATGTTAAAACCTTCATCTCGTCCACTAGAATTTGTGCAGCTTTTGCCATAGAGTCTGCAAACCCGCCAGCCAACTGTACTCCAAAAATTTTTTCAGAAGGATGTCGCTTCGCCAGCGAATATTCTGACGGCGTGCCTTAACCAGTACTGAGTTTGCTAACCACAACTATTTTGATCTCTTCAAAAAAATATATTGAAGATTGCACGATTACAACTCAGAGCATTGGAGTCCAAATATGAACTACTCGATGTTATTAGCAGTAGATATTGAATAAAACTGTCCGAGAAGTGGATAACCACTTCACTGTTGCAAACGGGACCTTGTACAAGGACAACTTTTATGGATGTGCTAGTGTAAGCGCGATCACTAGCGCTTCCATTATCCTGCTTCTATGCGACAAATGTGACCGGTGGCCTAACAATAGAAATGCAGTCATGCAATAAAACAAGGGCACTTCCTGTCGCTAAGGAAAATTCTCTAGGATACAACCCCTTTTCGGAGGGAGAGGGGGGGGGGTAATATCACGCGAAAGAACTACAACATTCAACTGGAAAATATCATTTGTATAGGATTTGGCTGCGCCTCCAATCATGGGGGGGAGACTTCTCCTCCTCAAGCAACGAGAATAGTATATTCCCCCTCCCAAAGGGAGTCTCCCGCCGTGGATCGCGGATGTGAAACAGGAAAAGTCAACTGTCTAACAAAAGCTTCTTGAATCAAATGCAGTCCCTTTCTCCAGCGACATGAAACTCATCGCTGGGCATTCCCCATTGCACGCGCCCTGAATTAACCCTTACTATCAACGGACATCCAGAAAAAACACCATTGTATGAAAAATCAGTGGCTTTATATTGCAACTTGAAGAAGAGAACTCAAAAAGACAGCATAAATCAAGAAGCCATGCATCAAGGGCAGATGGAGAAGTCTATACTTGTAAGAATGAAAATTCCCACAAAACAGTAATTAGTGGACAAACCTGAAAGCAGACTAGTAGCCATTGCCATTTCTCCGCAGGTGATATCTGCGCCAAGACTGACGCAAAGACGTCGAAAGGGCAGATTCCCCTGGAAACACTAGATTAAAAAAAGAAGATTCTGAATAATAAGCGAGGTGTTCTCACGAGCACACCGTTGCAACGCTGTAGAAATTGTTGAAGGGGTAGAGCTAAGCCCTGCATTTAAACGCATGACATAGACATCGAAAACGAACCACAGTAGTGAGCGGCGCCAGGTACTTTTTCCCCTTCAAGCTCTTCATATCAAGTGCAGGCTTCTCTCTTTCCATTGAACCAACGAGTCCTTCTTTAACAGCCTGAACCACCTGAAATTCATGAGCCGCTTTACTGTATAATTTGCCTGTAACTGAAACAGGGACGGCAATCTACACAAAGCGTCCAGCATTCATAAACGAAAGAAGAAGTATTCAGAGCTTCGGCCAAGATGTCGAAATTTCGGGTAAAATCTCCATATTTTTTCCACTTGTTGTATACCATTTTCACTTTAAATCAGACACTTTTCAAATCAAATCGGACACACCCCTTACAATAGGCAGTTGATAACTATACCACACTAGGTACTGCTGCAAGCCCCGCCCACTTTTCAGCGCGGTCACGGTTTTCCAAAATGTTTCATGAAATCTGCTTCTTCGACTTTTTTTCCCTTTTGCTAGTTGCACACACACTCCCTGAAAAGGAGTGGTACCAATACAGATCTGATCCCACCCACTTCTCAATGAAGTTACCGCAAGTTTTGAGTTTTATAACTTTTTTCGACGTCGTTCTTTTTTCACATTCAATCTTCACAAAACGAATATACTATAGCCATGTGCATTTACACACTAGCACACTAAGCCCCGCCCCTCTGACCACGCCCACTTTCGTTTTTCGCGGAATTTTGATTTTTCTTCCGAATTTTCACTTTTTTAGGCTGTAACAAGTGGCTCCGCCCACTAGAGGAAGCTCCGCCCACTTTTGGAAAATGATGCAAATCGACAGGCTAGAGTCCGTACTGGCACGTTATGGCCTCTCCAGTCACACAGTACGAGAAAGAAAGTGGAAATTCATTTCGAGTGACGGAAGAAACCATAACGTGCCAGCACGGACTATAGCCTAACGATTTTCATCATTTTCCAAAAGTGGGCGGGGCTTCTACTAGTGGGTGGAGCCACTTGGTTTTCTCCAGAGGTCGCACGTCCCACCGAAGAAGCGGCTCGTAAATACACAGCAATTCGCTCTCACAAACATTACTGAAAAAGGGCGTGAGATGCTTTCCACTTCACTTTCTGCAGAGAAAAGGGAATGAACGTCATATCATTCAAGGCTCGCAACAACGTCGTTCGGCAGCGGGTTAAGTAATTTGGGTAGCGTTTGCTTGTAAGTGCGGTGTAGACTCCATATCCCTAGGATTCGGTGGGTGAAACTACGCACATCTAAACGTGGCGGCGGCTATGTTTTTGGTAGGATATTTGCATTTCGGGACAAGTGTAATACCCATCCTACAGCTTGTTCAGAAAAAGTACGCAGCCACGCCTATCGCGTCTCAGGGATGTCGCGTGTATATATTTTACATATGTTCTGATACATGCCCCCTCCTTCGTTCTGCTAATTCTGGGAAGCACGAAATTTGAGGTATAGATCATAGACGTGGAAGCTCACCTTGTCTGACCGTGAAAAATCGAAGGTTCTCTTCCGCAAAGCTATTTGAATATGAATTGATGAACTGTTTATGGTTTCTTCGTAGGGGACAGGAGGCTCCTTTGAAAGGAATATTTAAAGATACAATCATTTCTCGACCTTAACTGCGCGTAACCAACCTTTGAGATTTGCTTTCCGTCAGGATCTACATGAGCACCTCCGAACCTACAGGCATAGCTGAACGGGCATACACCCCTTGCCTCGAACAGAGGACAAACCTCGCCAATGTCAGCTGGTTTTCTAGCGAGAAATGCTGGGATGTCATGCATCAAACTGCATTTTTCTCCAAACCTATTTTAACAGCAATTGAAACACTTGGCATAAAAGTAAGCATGCTTAATATATGACGCACTTGCATTTCACCGGCTGAATGACTGAAGGGCATAATCGTGCATTCGAAGCCCGGATTACGGTCTCAGCTTGTTTCATTTCCTTCCTAAACTTCAAATTTTACTTCGCAAAACAAAACGTCAGGTTATATGAGTACCTACATTCTATGTTTATTCATTCCTTTCTTTGACCGTCTGTCATCTCCTACATTAGTAGCCGGCAGATTCGAGGGCGGAGTTTCTTCTCCGTTTTCGCTGTCATTATTGGCCAGTTTCACATCATTGTCCTTCTGATAAGCTAATTTCGCATAATACATTCAACCCACACTCTAGCGAACAGGCTATCCCAAATCAAAGTAGACAAATGAAGGTAATGTTTCCGAGGCCCACCGTGATTAAGAACTCTGCTTTCACAGCAGCAACGCCTGTTCTGAAAGTATTGAGTGAGATGTCTTGCAACTGCTCCGAAACTGCTTCGACGGACATCCTCAAATAAGTTCGCAGCCTGAGATTAGATCCGAGATACACACTGCGACCTACGTCACGTTCCAGGTAATCATTGCCTCGAGACACAGTAACAACAAGAAACTTACATGTAAGTAATAGAAAATTTATTCGAACCTAATAACACCAGTCACATATTTACAAACAAAAACGAAAAATAAATAATGTGTGAAGCGAACTAAAGACTATAGTCCACTTCCATTCTGTGCAGAATCACTTTGTTCTCTCCAGTACCTTTCGTTTCGAGAAAGATGATCTGTATTCCATTCGTAATTTCGTGTGTACCCGCATAACATACATTTCCTTTGTATAACCTTTCGCTGTACAAAGTTTAATTCACATCGTTTCACCTAAAACAATAAAAATCGAGAGAGAGCTCCAGTTCCGGAGAAAATAAAATAACATGAAGTAATGAGGCTCGAATGCACGCCGAATGCAGAAAATGATGAGATGTACCGCTCAAATTCTAACGACAAGACTGTAAATAACATAATATAATTTCCCACGCAGAACCGCGCTTGTGCGTGCGTAAGGCGAATTAAGGGCGTGGGCTTTCTTACTTCCTGGTGTCTCCTCTTTCGCCTTATCACGCAACTATCACCACTCAAAGTTAAAAGCAGTCCCCGCGCTAAAGCAACTACTAGGCGTCCTTCCTTGTACAACTAGTCTGGTCCTCAGTCTCCGAGATTATCTCACTTTCGCGGCTTCACAATAGGTAACCAAGGCGCTGTGGCCCTCATGAGTGGCAGTGCTGACGCCTCCCTAGTTGTACCGTCCACTGAAACCTAAGGCAGCGTTCATAGTTCGCGACAGCAGCGGCGATCGCCAGTAGGAGGACCAGCTCGCCCCAAACTAGATGGACGGATTGAAAAACTTGTTGGAAAGGTATTTTCATGTGGTTTTTTCTTTCTCCGCCCACTAGTACTCTCAGTGAGGGGGTTATTTGATTAATAAGTGGGGTGCAGTTAAATAATAGGCTTCTAGATCGAGATATCAGCCCGGTTTAAAATTTCACATAGTTTCATATTTTCTACTCTTTCTCTCTTTTCTGCTCTCTCATTCCTTCTCTTGGTTGATGTTTCGCAATCCTTTGGTCTGAGTGATGTGAGTACTCGCTTGCTTTGCTGGTCTTGCTTTTTATGGTTTCGCAACCCTTCGGTGCTGTTTCGCAACCCTTCGGTGCTCAGTGACATTATGGTGCATTCTTGGATCGAAATGTTTTCTTTCTTCTACTGCTAAAACTCGTTATTACTGTTGTATATCGTCTTAATTTTTTTGTGCCAATTAAAATGTTCTTTCCAGGATCTCCTTCCGTTGCGTTCCAATCTCACAAGGGAGGTCGTTCAGGGCGTGGTGAGCTTTTTCAAAATGGTCTTGTGCATATTGTAGGGGCACATACGAGGACCAGAAAACTGAGGTTCATTTTCGCTGCGCGCTTCTACGAATAAAAAAACGTAAAAAATAGGTCGATGGTTCGGATCCCACCGAGGACAAAATTTTGCTTTTCTACAATTTTTCATTTTTTGGATCCATGTTTGTCTAAATAATTGGTCCTAACAAAAACATTCACGATAAACTGAACAATCCTACTTTTATGGAGCAAAACTGCTTTTTCGTTAGTATGCACAGACTCAGCTCTTCGGCGCTATGCCGGTGCCAGATGGCACTGTTCGTTTTTCGCTTCCCATTGTGTCCTCGCGCATGAATATAACTCGGATATTTGCCATTTATGGGCACATTCTGAGTAGGCTGTTGCCTCATGAGTCAGTGCTATTCAACTATTTCGATTCTCACGCACCACTGAACAGATTGTTGCTGGACGTTGATCCTCATAGGCTATACAGTGGATCTGATTGCTAATTTAGTAA